TTCTAAAGCTCTAAACTTCTGAAGATACTACGATCTACCCCGTGTCTTCTGTTCTTTGATTTCTTTGTGTTTATTCATTAGAAGGTGCAAATGTGCAGGTAACTGGTGCTGACCTCATATCCTCACTCATCACATGTTCACGCCCCCTTTTATCAGCTTCTTTCCAAACAGCTTCTTCAGAATTTTAAAATCCTTCTCATTTTGAATTTCAAATACTAATTACTTAATGGATCTATTATTAAATTTTCCACCTTTGTTTCCATCCCTTTCTTCACCCTGCACTGCACCCCAGTCAGGGACAGTCGAGGGTGGGGAGAAGATGCCCATTCTTCCCTGTCCCACCCACAGCAGGGGATGCCACGGCTGGTACCCATTGCCTTCCTCTTCCTCACGTGTGCCTGGGGGGCAGAGCCTGGGCTCTGGGCCCTCGCTTTCGCAGGATACTTAAACACAGATGCTATCTTAAGGCTGAGACTGACAATAGTTTGGTAAAACAGACCCCCACAAGCATCTTTAAGATGGGCTCAGTCAGCCCTGGCCGGTTTGGCTCAGCGGTTAGAGCATCAGCCTGCGGTCCACAGAGACCCGGGTTCGGTTCCCGCTAAGGGCACGTACCTTGGCTGCAGTTTGTCCCCGGCCCTGGTTGGGTCGTGTGGGTGGCGGCCACTCGATGTGTCCCTTTCACATTGATGTTTCTCTCTCTTCCCCTCTCTCCTTCCTGCTCTATCTGAGTAAAAAATGGAAAAATGTCCTCGGGTGAGGATAAAAAAAAAAAAAAAAAAAGATGGGCTCAGTCAGTAGCCAGAGATGTTTTCCCAAGAAAAAAACAGGCCTTCTGCCTTGTGTGAGTTTGCGCGTGTGTGAAAAGGGACAGCAATGACTGCCGTCGGTGACAGCAGCAGCCCTGGCCTCGCCACGAAGCCCAGGAGTACATCGCCCACGCCGTTTCTCTCCCAGCCTCCCTCCTCTGCTTGCTCATCGTCCCTTCCCTGGTAACTCGGCCTTGCGCAGGGCTTTGGCTTGCCATGGCCCCTTCTGCTTTTTCTTCATAGCAAACATTTCAGCTTTTTTTCAAGCTGCAGTTGATGATGTCCTGAAAATACTATTAGTGGAAGCCCTGTTTTACAAGTAATCGGCTTCTCTTCCATGTTTTTCTCACAGCTTGCAGGAGGCTGGATAGGGCAGAAAGTGCAAGAACATGAGTGTGCCTGATGAACCAGCCACGTCGTGGTTGCTGACCCGCTTAGGAAGGGCTGCCTGGGTGGGGGTGGGCCACAGGCTCCCAAGGGAAGCCCCCTCTGCAGGACCGTTTCCTTCAAAGAGGCCACTGCCTCTGGAGAGACTTGGACAGCCTGGCTCAAACCACCTTGCTCCTCCCTACTCAAGTTAACCATTTGCTGACTGAATTCACCCACTTGACTATTGTTCTGATTCCACAGATTAAGGACCTAAGTAAGAAAGGAAGGTGATCTTGAAAGGGAACAAGTAAGATCTCTTTCTGAGAGGCTGGTGACTTTTGTTTGGTTACCTTTGTGTATTGCCGGCTCTTTCTCTTAGTGACCTTGATGTTGGCCTCTGCTCCTCCAGCCTTCCCTGCTAGCTTTATGTGGATAGATGCCCCTCCTAGGAGTTGTGTAATGAATTATAGAAACCTTTTTGAGTGTCTCCTGTGGGTCAGGCTCTGTGATTGGCATGGGAACATGATGTGGTAAGCAAAACAGATACAGCTCCCACCTCATAGTGTTTGTCTGACGGGAGAAGTAGGCATTAAATAACTACAGCAGTCCCTTTTGTCTGGGGGATACGTTCCAAGACCCCCAGTGGATGCCTGAAACCACGGATAGTACTGAACCTTATGTGTACTATGTTTTTTCTATACATACATGCCTATATAAAGTTTAATTTGTGATTTAGTCACAGTAAGTATAAAATAGAACAATTCTAACAATATACTGTAATAAAAATTATGTGACTGTGGCATTATTAAGTAAAATAAGGGTCATTTGAACATAGGTAGCATGACAGTTGATCTGCTAACCAAGGTGGCTGGGTGGTGAGGGTAGACAGCATGGAGGACTGGACAAAGGGATGATACACATCCCAGGGGCGACGGAGTGGGGTGGCGCAAGATTTCACCATGCAACTTAAGACTTATGAATTGTTTCTGAGATCTTCATTTAATATTTACAGACAGTGATTGACCGTGGGTAACTGAAACTGCAGCAAGCAAAAGCATGGATAAGGGGCAGCACTGTATACCGGTGGAGCTGACCGGTGCTATGTGGGAGGTGTTCGAGATGCTACAGCCTTCTAGAGCAGTGACAGCCAAGCTGAGACCTGAAAGATGGCAGCCTCGGTCGCTCAAAGCGGGGGAGGAGGAGTGTTTCAGGTGCACGGAATATAGCCCGAATCGCACTCTATGGTCACGTAGTCTGTCTGGAACACTGCCTTGCTCCTGGGAACATTGAACTTGGCCGTGACTTGCACTCCTACGAGACCATGAGCTCCTGGAGAGCAGGTAGCTCCACTGCACAGCTCACAGTAGGCACTTGATGACCATGTCTTTAGTAAATGAGACATGCTGATCATAGTCTTTGATCTGCTTTCTGTTAGGTGTTCTTTATATTAAAGTATGACATATTGCTTATAAAAAGGTCTGAAGTAACTTGATTTTTCAAAAGCTGCTTCCCCAGCTAGGCTGGCCAGTGGCTTCCCTCGGAGAAGGCTCTTTGCCAGGTCAGCATGTTCTCACCCTGCCTCTCCTGCTGTTCTCCACACTGTTTTCTTTCCCTGTTGGCGTGCCCTTTACTTAGAGAACCTGGCCAATGGGCCATGGACACAGTGTTCCGGGAGTTCTGTGTGGGCTTCCGCAGAGGTGAAGCATCCTCGCCACTGCATGTGAATGACAGACGACTTCAGCTCTCTGGGATCCTTGGGACGTTCTCTCGCCTGGGTGCCAGTTCCAGGGCACTGGAGAGGCACCCTTGGAACACTCAGAACTACCTTAAGTCATTCCCAATTTAATGGCTTTCATTTTAAAATCCATTAGGCATTTGTCACTTTAAAATCTACTAAGGTATGATGCTGTCAACGCTGCTTGAGGGTGTGTATGACTTCGCATATAGTTAATGACTCCGAGTCCCATACAAATCTAAATTTTATCCTCTTCCTGTTTCCTACTTTGTAATTAGAGTTTGAAATTTGTTAACTGCTGTCAGCACACTTAGCCTTTCTAACCCTTTGCCTCTTTCTAATCTATTGTAGTGATCAACTGTAAAGTTGGAAATAAACTGCAAAATTGTAAACCGTCTAACCAGGTTTTATTGACTTGTTCATGTATTTAATTAAACATTTGTTCCTTCAACAACTATCTGTTCAGCCAAGCATCGTGCTCAGCACTGATGTTGCAGAGTTGAATATGATATGCTCCTTGCCCCCAGGGGCCTTCTGGAGGAAGCAGAGTGTGGGGATGTGGGGGGGAGCCTGAGATGCCCCCAGTCAGAACTGTGCTCGGGGTGGGAAAGGATGGCGGGCCCCCAGTAATGACCCGGAATTTCTTAATCCTTCAAGTGCCTAAATTTCATTGCATACACACGTACCTTCTGTTGTGGCTACTGAGGTCATTTCCTGCGTCTGCGTCTGTGCCATGTTCTTAGTGAGAGGGTTTATCATGAGCCAAGCTCCAGGTAGTGAGGCCTTCCCTGAAATCAGCGGCCTTTTTTCTCTCTCCAGTTTATAGCATTATTAGTGACGCTGTTGAATCACTTGGTTAGGGTGCTGATCCCCAGATCTCCCCAATGTAGAGGTATATATTTTTCTCAGTATAATAAGTAATTTATAGGGTAATACCTTGACACATATGAATTCTTATTCCCCAAAAACATCACTTATCATCTAAGAGTCCATCAGTGAGCCTTTCCTGAATGAGAATGTTACAACATTGTGGTTTCTCTGGTTCTCGCATTTCTTCTATGGTCAGTGCACTCTGAAGAGCTTTATATCCATCCCTTCCTCCCCCAACTCAGCATGATGGACTGGACTTCTTTTCATCAGGACACTCCAGTTCATTGCCGCCTTTCCTCTCCTTGGTACGCAAACTGTCCCAAGTGTGGCTGGTTGGGAGCCCCTTCAGCCTGGCCCCTATATCCTTTGACACAAGCTGTCCCAGGCGCATCTTAGACTTTCCCTGCCCCACCCCTGGAATCAGCCATTTCTTAAGTAGCCCTTTGATTGCAGAATAAAATTTGGGCACCAGGAGTGCTCACTGCTATGGAGATGTTGTCCCAGACTCTTCCGGTGACTAAAGCCAGGAAAGATATTTAAAAAAAAGAAAACAGCCCGGCCAGCGTGGCTCAGTGGTTGCGCGTCAACCTGTGCACCCAGAGGTCCTGGTTCAATTCCCGGTCAGGGCACAAGCCCAGGTGGGGGCCTGATCCCCAGTGGGGGGCATGCAGGAGGCAGCCAGTCGATGTTCTCTCTCATCGATGTTTCTGTCTCTCTCTCCCTCTCCCTTCCTCTCTCTCTAAAAATCAATAAAGGGGGGGAAATTTTTTTTAAAAACCATACATTTGTTTTAATATTTCTTCTAAAGTATTAATTTAGCATAAGGTCTTTTTTCTTGGTTGTTAGAAACTCAACTGCGGTGCTGCTCTAAGCTAATCTAAAGGCCTCTCCTCTCAGGAAACCTAAAACCCCACTGTGTCTGTTCCTCTTCGCTCTGGAGGGAGAGAAGACGAGAAGACGGCCACATTAATCTCATGTCACTCGAGAAAAGAAAAGTAACAGTGTTTAGAGAGGTTAAACAGATTGCCCACAATGACACAAGCATTTTATCATGTGCTCTCTTTCTGCGTGTGTCTGTGCTACTTCTGTACAGGAGGGGGTCGCTGGCAGGACCTCTTACACATGTTGGCAGACTCCTTCTAAATCATCCTTTTGCTATATGTCTAAAAAGCATTTGTGACGTTGCCATTATTCATAATTACTCTGGTCACTTTCAGGTGCAGCTAAGTCAAGCCCAGCTTCTAAACCAGGATCCACACCTTCTCGTCCCTCATCAGCCAAAAGGGCTTCGTCCAGCAGCTCAGCCTCTAAATCGGATAAAGATTTGGAAACACAGGTCATACAGCTCAATGAACAGGTAACTCCCCATCCCTGGCCCTAGTCTGGGAGCAGTGACAGGTGCACGGGGAGAGGGAGCAAACCCCTGTGGGCCTGGGATGATTCTGGGAGGGAAGGTGAGGCAGAATTGCTGGTTGCAAGCAAGAAAGAATAAAAGGGATTGTTTGGCCAGATAAAATCCATGCCCATTATGAGTAAAAGAAGTTAGTCACAAGTCTCAAAGCTGCATTAAGACAGAAGGACAAAGGACTCAGCCCAGGTCAATGCGGGCCAGCCTCCCCCCCACACACACCTGAGCTCCAGTCTAGACCATGGCCTGTCTGTCCACTTCTGGCCAGTCCAGATGATGTGCTAGGGTTAGTCTCCCTTCCTCCTTCCTTTTCTTCAGCAACTAATTGTTAGGCTTGTTCTATGACAACACCATGCTTGATGTTGATCATGTAATGGTTACAAGATAGAGACCTTCCCTCACTGAACGTGCAGGCACTGTCACACAGGGAAGTGATGACCTACCGAAAGCAAGAAGCCTGACACTTCCCACCGTGGCCGAAATGTGTTACCCCAGGGGCGCTGAACCTGGTGTTGGAGTGATCAGAAAGTCCTCAGTGTCTTTTACATAGAACTTGCCTTTCTATCTGATATTCCTCACGATTACAGTAACTTCCTACATAAAAGCTCAGGTATGCTTTCCAGCTAACGTCACACAAAAAGTAGACAACATTTTTTTGTTTTTGCCTTTTTTAAGGTTGGGGTTGGAACTTGTTCTCAAACAAAATATTTTGCCTACAACAGCATTTAGATGGTTGCTTCCCTAGGGCTGAGCTGAGATCAGGAAGTTGAGAGCTCTCTTGAGTTTAGGCATTTATAAGTAGTTTTAAAAATAGTAAAACAATTGGTAGGGAAGGGACCACTGCCGAGGCATCCACCCCCGACCTGAGCTAGGAGGAGGGTCCTTCATCCCGGCTGCTCCCAGCACTGGGAGAGGAGCCTTTACTCGAGGTCCTCCAGACATTCCCAGCGATTAATCTGATTCTTGATGAGCCAGCAAGTCTGGAAATGGTTTTTGAGATAATTGTATATTTGCAATCAAGACCTAGTTTAAAAGCAGGCAGTTGCTTCACGAGGGTGTTTCTTTACAGTTCTGATCACTTTAATGAAAAAGGTGAAACCTTAAGTCATCGGTGGGTAGAACTTTGATTAGAAACTGCGAATGTTCTCAGTACCTGCTGAGTCTCAGTTTGAGCCCATACAGAATTCCCAGTGATACTCCTCTTACGACAGTGAGCAGTTGGGGTAGACATGAAGAACATCAGGTGTGGGTCTATAACACTTACTTTTATTCTTAGAAACTCCTATAGTTTTGATATCTTGATTCTCTCATGTTTCTTCATGATATCTCTCTTCCTTCCCATCCTCTTCCACACCCAGGTTCCCAACCTCCAGGTCCTTCCTGCTGCCTCTCCCTTACAGCCTCAACCAGCCCTACTTCCTCTCCAGTCACACAAAGAACCCACATCCCCCAAGGACCTAGACCTTGTCCCACCATCCACAGTGCCACTCTACAGACGGGGTGAACAGAGAGGAGCACTCCAGTGGCCTTCTCCTCCTCGTTACAATTCCTTCATTACTTCCAAAGGCCTCACTCCCCTGCCTACCCAAATCCTTCACTTGAAGGAGGAGTGTGCCCGTCCCGGCCCGGCCCACCGAGGGGAGGTATACACACTCTAAACTGGGGGCCTTCATTCAGCAACTACTTAGTGAGCTTTTACTCCAGACCTACTTCTGTGGCTATCTGTTATTGCCCCCTCCATATTCTGACCTTGAAGCCTTCAGGGCCCTCCCGCAAAAAAAAAAAAAAAAACTGGTGGGGAGCCACACAGGCATCAGGGTGTCAGAACCAAGGACACTGGGACAGGAATGCCTGAGTGAAAATGCCTAGGCTGACGCGAATTACACCGCTACCAGAGAAAGTGACAAATGCCATAAACTGAGAGTTCTCATTTACTTGGCCTCGAGCCTTTATTCAGACAGTGTCCCATCACGTACTATAAAATACCACTGCGCTAGACAATTTCAATGATAGAAATGAAGCAAAAGATGGGGGAGAAAAAGACATCACTAAAATAATCAGGGACAGTTTCTGGAGAGTGAGCTAGCAAACAGGCAGTGGGATGGAGGCCCTGCTCTGTCCAGGGGGCGCTGCTTAGCCCCGGGAGGAGTGGGAGAAGATCACCTTCTTGTCCCTTCGACTTTCCTCCAGACTCCATCCCAGCATCCCCTCCACACGTAGGCTTCCTTCCACTGTGGCACATGAGGGAACAGGGAGGCATCAGTCTTTATGAGTGGGACTGTGAGCATGGCATTCAGTTGCCAACTGATCTTTCATCATATAATTTAGCTCCTGTTGGTTTTTACTAGGGAAGGTTTATAGCTACGCATCTGTTACCTAACGCGTCTGGAAAACCACCAAAGGCTGACTTGGGCTGGGTGTCTGCAGAAGCCTTGGCTCTTCGCTCATCGTGCCGACCAAAGCACGCTCGAGGGGCAGGCGGACCTAGTTTCTGTTGTTCAGATGTGTTGAGACCCTCGGTGCCTGTGCGGGGGAGCTGGCAGACACCTAAACTGCCACAGATCGGTCTGCTGGCACCAAGGCGGGCTTCAGGTGGCTTCTTTGGCCAAGCCGGGGAAGGGGTTGGTTTTGTTAAAGCCTGAAAGGATTTCGAGAATGAATGGAGTTTTCTTTTTCCTGGAATTGAGGCTGCTGGTTGCCTTCCGTTTTTACCAATATCCGAGCAATAGTACGCTGAGAAGTCAGCGTTCGATGTTAGCAAGCTGACACTCTGCCTCCCGTGTGTCCCTCCCTACACTAGCACTCCCTCAGCGACCACCAGAGGCCGCATGACCCTGGCTGCTCCTTGAACTGGCATCAAGGGGGAGGAGGCTGCTTTGCTGAGGGAATGGCGCTTCCATCTCTTCCCACCTGGCCAGCGAGGGTCTTCCACAAAGCCAGAACCAGAGAAATTCAGACAGCGCTCAGCCAGGTTTCCGTCTCACCCAGTTTCGCAGTAGAGAGCATCTGTCCTGTTTGGCTCAGGAACATTGATGAAGGGTCCAAACTAAGTGTGACTCAGTGTAGGTGACCCAGGGCCACATGTGTCCTCAGAATACATCTGAAGTAGCCACAGTGCCAGCCTGTCTCCTTCCCGTCGCCCCCCCCCCTCACCTCCCAGCGAGGATGGGCAGCGAGGGACGAAGGTGTGGCTGGCCCTTGTGCGCAGGAGAGGAACGCTTCCCCAGCCCGGATAGAGCTGGATTCCGCAGAACGTCCGTGACCCTGGTTCATAAACACTCAGTTGCCCGAGGGGAACGATGAGAGTGCCATTGAGGTTGGACATTTTGGCCCAGGCTGCAGACAGCAGCCCCTTGTTCCTCCCTCGGACACACATCGGCTACTCTGGGCGCATCTGTGTTTTTATGTTCCGGGTCCTTCTACACAGGCATCGTCGGCTGCTTGCTTCTTATGCTGTATTCGGCGGTTTTTCCTCTCCACCCTCACCCCCTTGCAGGTACATTCGTTAAAACTTGCCCTTGAAGGCGTGGAGAAGGAAAGGGACTTCTACTTCGGAAAGCTGAGAGAGATCGAGCTGCTGTGCCAGGAGCAGGGGCAGGAAAACGACAACCTCGTGCAGCGGCTGATGGAAGTCCTCTATGCCTCAGACGAGCACGTAAGTTCCGAGTGACGCGCGTGGTCACGCCTGGGACCTGCAGCTCGCAGGGTGTCTGAGGTCCCAGAGGAACAAGGGCGTCCTCCTCCTGATCCAGTGGCTGCACGCCTGTGGGACACGCATCTGTAAATTAACCTGGGAAGACATGGGCATGTAGGGGGTTCCTTCTTCAGGGAAGACCTGAGTGTGGCTCAAGAAGCTGACCTCAGTGCTTTTCATCTTCATAAGCCCCACTTCGGTCTGATTTTCTCTCATAGCTGGTCATCTTGGTTTCCCGTCGTTAGTCATGAGTGTGAGGAAGGAGACACAGATGTGAGGTGCGGGGGGGTGGGGGGGGGACGAGAGAAGCAAGGAGGGGAAGGGGCGGGATGAGCGGCTGGGACCTAGGCCGGTCACCGCACGCGGCCGCAGCAGCTGGAAGCGGGAGTGGGAGCTGACAGGGCTCCCCTTCCACAGGGCCGAGCTGGAGAAGACCCGAGAGGAGGGGCTGGGGTTCTGGTGCCGGGATGAAGTTGGAGTGTGTGTGTCTGGGTCCCAGAGGCCTGCGGATGCTGAGGACGCTGTGGTTGAGTCGCATGTGTTAGTTAGTGTTTCCACAGAACGGAACTGGCCACTGGCAAGTTTACTTTATGTCCGATTCCAGCTGACACCAGGCAAATGTTTACTCCATGTAAGATTAAAATCCTAGCTACAGAATTTTCCTAAACCATGAGAAACTGGGCTTTGGGGACTCTACCACTTTTTTCATTTCCCCAGATATTCTTTTTAAACTCCTGTGCCTGGTCAGGTCCCCAGAGACAGTGATGCAGTGATGGCCTCACCAAGCATGGTCCTCGGGGTGCTGCGCCCGGGGAGGGAAGCAAAGCCTGCATTGCCGTGTCTGTGCCACCCCGGCCGCACGGGCACCCTGTCTGGGTGTAGAGTGCTTTGTAGTCCGTCAGCACTCGCTGAGTTGTGGTTTTCTCTTGACAAGCTTGTTTGGGGCTGAATCCGAGGTGGTGGACCGGGCCCAGAGTGTCTGAGCAAAGGTGCTGCTGTCAGTGTGAGGTGCCCATCACTGGGTCGGCGGCCTGCGGGATTGAGGCCTCCCAGCCTGCACTCCCTGAGGGAGGAAACGCCCTATTCTAACTTTGAGCCAGATCTTGTCCCAACAGGGAGTCCTCGTGTAGGAACACCGTCAGGAGAACGCTAAATTAAGGGCTGATGTGGCCACTAAATTCCTGGCTAATGGCAGGTGGGACCAGCCTCAGACAAGAGCTCTTGCCTCCTGGGTTGATTTCAAGGGTTCTGCCTAGATGACCACACTCAGCTTCTCTTCTGCTAGTCACACCCCACCCCCGGTACACACACACTGACTGGCTGCAGTCTGGATTCAGAAAGCTGCTCAGTGTACAGGCAAAGAATGCAGACACCCAAGCAGAAGTGATTCTTCAAAGCGTCATCACGAGTGGTGATGGGTTTAGCAGGGCCTTTCCCACAACACCTGGTCGCCTCTCCTTACCTAAGCACTCTACCAGGTGCTCCTCTGGCGTCGAGGCCTGTGCCAGAGGACAGAGAGGCTAGCGAGGGGTCTGCTTCAAGGGACCCGCCAGGGCGAGAGGAATGGCAGGAACCAGGAGGCAGAGCAGAAGCGCAGTCCCGGCAGTCAGCGCCTGGGGCCTGGGCCCTGCTCTGGCCCAGCAGATTCCCTCGAGCTTCTCGCGATGCCTCAGTCGTTGCACTTGGTTGACTCTTGCAGAGGGTCGGAAACTACATAATAGGTTCTGTGGACTTCCTTCCACAGCACAAGGGAAAGCTCGGTGGGTGCGTAAAGCCTGATGCCGAGGGTGATCCGCCCCCGCTGGAGCAGGGGAGCACGGGCGGGTGTGCGCTCCGGCCCTGCAGGAGGGGGCGCCAGGGGACGCGCGCTCTGATGCGGGCTGGGGCGTGGTTTCAGCTCAAGCGTCTCCCCTGCCCTGCAGGAGGGCCACCCGGAAGAGCCCGAAGCAGAGGAACAAGTCCACGAACAGCAGCCCCAGCAGCAGGAAGAGTACTGACCCGTCTGGCAGCTCTTGACACTTCCATTTTGCGTGGGAACTCTTCTTCTGGAGAATCGGAACACGTGTGGCCTCAAGCTCAACAGAAACCAGTCGTTCCCAGTCTGCCGGTAACATCAACGCACTGTCGCATACATACGCCAACCTCCGCACTCGGTCCCCATTTCCTTTGCCAAGACACACAGCAGCCGGCCGTTTGGCAGCCTACCTGAGAGATCACGGGGTCACATACCTTCAGCTTCACCACTTGGCTGCGTGAGATTGGCTCTGCTCTCTTGATTTCTTCCCAGAGCAACTCTCCCCACCCCACTACCCCCACCAATACCCTCTTTTTATCCTGGTGTGAAACAATGGTAATTTGATATATGGTATTTATATTGGCATTTCTCAACCCAGTGTCACTAGATGTCACACATTTGTGGTGCTTTGATGTTTGCAAGTCTAACCTCTGAACATAAATTTGGTAAAGTAATAAATTGGAACAAAGGGAAAGAGATACTTGATATGAAAGCCATAATGACAGTGACTTGTTTCACAGGGAAAAACAGTCAGTTTCTCCCTCTACTCACAACACTAAAGGGAAAGGAAGGATGGAATCCAAACCAGGACGTCAGGGCCCAGCAGCGTTCACACGTGGGCATGCTAGACAGCCACCCAGGATGGCGCTGGTGTTTCCCTTGAGTGAATGTCTTTAAAACCATCTCGACTTGGCCCTCTAACTGCTTGCCCCACCCTCCCCAGGTTCTCATGCTGTTTTCTTTCTCAGGGTCCTCTGGCGGGCAGCCCCTCTTCCCAAGAAGCTGGCCTCAGTTATCTGCAGTGCAGAGGGGTCTACACAGGTCCAGGCTCAGGCCTCCAGGGTGGGTTCCACACAAGGGGCCTCCTACTCAAGAATGGCTGCAGGGTCTGCAGCCCTGAGGGTTAGGGGTCAGGCCTTATGAAGAGGTGGGTAATTCCAGGGAGCATCATGGTTCTGAAGTCTAGTGTTGACACTGGAATGACAGCACAGAAGAACCAATGACTCCCAGTACCTTCTGGAATAAGGCATTTCCCCTTTGCTACTGCGGCCCTCCTTGTCACTGACCTTCGCCAAACCGTGGCAGTTCGTAAACCGAGGAAACATTGATGAATTAAAAGCATTCCTTATTTTTTTTAACTAAGATTTGCACATTTTGTTAGTATCTTCCCAAATCTTTGCTTCTATTTTTTTTTTTTTTTTTTTGCCTTCAACTGATGGTATCTCTTCCTGGATCATCCATTTCTCTCGGTTCCTAACTTTAGATTTACCTTCACTTGTTATCTGACTTAGCAGGTGCAACAAACAAGTGTGTCCACCCCACTTTCCTCTTAACTGAACAGCTGAAAATAAATTTCTGAATTATATATCATAAAGCTTTGACATTTCTTTATTGATTGATGAAATACTAATGCTAAACTCTCACATTGAAGCTTTCCACCGAAAGCAGTCTTCTCAAAATAAATCTTTTGCAGCAAAGTGGTATTTATTGAGTTCTATGTGGAAAAGATGGCTTGTATTTTTGAGGTGATTACAACACACTGTGCAGAACTGACAGATGTTCTGTGGTGTCTGCTTCCCTTTCTTCTCTCTCCTGCTTGCTCTGCCTGTAGTGCCAGCTCCCTTCTCGGGCTGGAAAGCCTGGCTCTCTGCAGTGACGTCCTCCCACCCCTGGCTGCAGGGTGGTTGTGCTATCGTAGCATCATGCCTAACGGTGTGCCCCGCCCCCAGCCTGTTGCACTCACTGTTTCCTTCTTTTAAAACAGCCTGTGTAAAGCGGCACCATAAACAATCCCATGCAGATGTCTGGCCGCTCAGTAGAACCAGGGCTGGCTGACGAGACTGCTGTATAACTTGCAGAAGCCTCACCACCCACTCCATTTCTCCCTAAATCTCCAACCTTCTCAGCTAGAAACCTGGCCAGTTAGTTCACAAAGACGACTCTCCCAGAGTCTTGGAGCACACTCTTCACTTGTCTAGAAGAGAGCTACAGAGTCCTCCTCCTGGGCCATCTGAAACATCGTCCCTTGCGCTGCACCTGTGACAGCTCTGAGACCTGGGGGCCCTTGAGCACCGCAGCTTCTGTGCGGGCCACCTCTCATTTGCCAGGCCTGCTCCTTTCTCCCTGCTGCCTGTGCCCCATCATTCCCTCATCTCTGCATCCGGGGCACAGTTTCATCCATGGCCCTGTCATCACTGTCATGCTGGGCCGAGAAGTTCCCCTTGGTGTGGCCCTGCTCCTCCCCTCACACCCGCTGTGGCTGGTCATAGCACGTCCACTGCTCTGGTCAGATAGGAAGTGACTGAAGCAGAGGGCAAAGAGAGCCTGTCTTCTAAGCAGAAAAGCAGAAAAAGACAAAACACCCTGTTGAACTGAGAGAAGTAAACTCCAGAAGGGAACCAAAAACTCCCTTCCCTGGTGAGTATCTCCATTATTCCGTTAAGGTTTAATATGCATTCAAATTACTTTTACTAAATAGTACACCATGAAGCTTTTGTTATATATTACTGTAAACTGAAAGGAATGTAAACATATGTATTGTTAATTATAAATATAGATAAGTAATGACATACTAGATGAAAGGTCTTATTCAGATGTATCACATTCGTTTTACATTGCCCACCTGTTGTCGCATGGTAGACTAGCTTTTTGTCTTTGAATATGTGAATAACTTGACTTGCGGTTATCTTTTTACATATTTAATAAAAAAATATATGTTAAAATTGGCTTGGATCTATAGATTCTTACATTTTTTTTGCTAAACATTTTCTTTTGAGTGAGCATGTGTATGCGAAAGGGCTACTTGTGGGGATTCGCATTTTATAATTTCACGAGGGGCGGCTGTTTTTATTGATGGCAAATGTTTTAACTGGAATTACAGATTAGTATTTGATATCAAATGTAGCAGCTGTAATACCTTTTTTAAAAATTACCAAAGATAACCTGTTCCCTTAGGAAATATTCCACCTCCCAGTAAAGTCAAACCTAGCTCCTGCAGGTCGGGCCTGCTGCATCTGGCAAACGGAACAGCGGGGGAGCAGGCAGGCTTTTGGAAGCAAAGCTTTGTGGCAAAATGACCTGTGATTGGTAAAAGCTCTTTGATTATGCATATTTCCCCCCTCTGGTTTGTTGACTTTTAACAGGAAGGTTTATAGACATAAATGGAATATAAAACTTCAAGTTCCCAAAAATGTATTCAGAATTTTAATCTGACCCAAATTCACAGTTTATTCCTAGAACACTCTTCCAGTCTGATATATTTCTCATACAGATGAAATGTGACTGCCTACCAATGGAACTTATTTTTTACCAGCTTGAAAGTTTTTTCAAGGCAGAGGAATACATTAAAAAAAAAGAAAGAACTGGCCCCCCGCGAGCCCCTGGAGAGACTGTAGGACAGACAGACCGTCTGTGGGAGACTTAGCCCGGGGCCCTAGGTTGCTGAGTTTCAGCCCACACCCACTTCGCCCTAAACTGCTTTCAAGCACCACCTAGAGGCCAGTTTTGTCTCTGTTCCGTGTCTGGGCACCTGTTCTCCCTGCACTGGCCTGTGGGCCCTCTGCTTGTGAAAGCAGAGAAGGGGGAAAGAACAAGACAGTACCGCCGCTCTTCTCCACCCGCACTCATTTCTCCACAGGGCGCGCTGTGGCGAGGCGGAGCGTCACTCGAAGCACACGCTCCCCTTTAACTCATCAACCCGGGGTTTCAACCCTGGATCTTCCACTTAGACACTTAGTCAGGAAGACATGCGATTCATCTCACTCCAACGGCGCACTGGTGACTGAACTCATCGCTAACGGTTCAAAAGTGGTAAAATAACATGTTTGCTTCCGTTTTATTAAATCTGAGATCATCTCTTAAAACAGGATGTGTTCCTACTGGTATTAGGGGTAGGCCATGACTGGGGGGAGGGGATGATGTAATGCCACTAAATTTGGGTTATAAAATGCCAGTTCTCTCAAATTAAACACACAACTTCATTTCTGACCTTTCTTCTTTCTCCTCACTGCTAGAACACAGCTCTGTGATTGTCACGCATGCCGTCACTAGTAAACATCCACTCACCCACCTTCTTGGCACTAACGCCATGTTGCCAAACAGCATGAGTTGGGAGAGCAGAGCATCTCCCTATGTCGGACACTCCCGTTTTGCCAAACTGGGAACTCAGACATTCCAGTGAATATGCATTGGAAGAGCTCTGGTTTTACTGCCGAATGGAAGGCAAAGCTTAAAATCCACTGAGCCCTGGACAACCCTCAGATGGCACCAGGACGGCAGATCACAAAGTAGCACCCCCATACCTTCCCAAGCTTCGACCTGGCCCCCACATCTGGTATAGGTAAGGTTCACACAGAAGGTGCATTTGCTAAGTAAGGCCATGCCTCCTCCTGTGTTAGGTTTAGGATTGATTGTAATAAAAAGGGAAGACCCATGCCCGGCTGGTGTGGCTCAGTTGTTGAGCGTCGACCCATGCACTAAGAAGTCGCTGGTTCGATTCCCGGTCAGGGCACATGCCCAGGTTGTGGGCCCAATCCCCAGGAGGGGGCATGCAGGAGGAGGCCAGTCGATGTTCTCTCTCACTGATGTTTCTATCTCTCTCTCCCTCTCCCTTCCTCTCTCTAAAAATAAAGAAAAAAAAATTTGTAATAAAATAAAGGGAAGGCCCAGCTCAAGCTAATTTGTTGAATGCCTTTTTCTATTGCTGCTGAAAGAAAATGCTAAACCTTTTAAGACATTAACAAGTTTTAATTTTTTTTTTTTAATCCTCACCCAAGGATATGCTTTCATTGATTTCTAGAGAGAGAGAAAGATTGATCAGTTGCCTCCCATATGTGCCACCTAGGCATATGCCTGGATCAGGAATCGAACCCACAACCTTTTGGTGAACATTCTAACCGACTGAGCCACTAGTCTGGGGCAACAACTTTTAATTTTTTAAACAGGTTTTTTGTGGTATCTTGTAACTATTTTGTCAAGATTTGGTGTAAATTAAGTATTTTAAAGGGTAAGAAAATGTTAACATACCTTTGAATGTATGATATTCAGTAGGAACTACCCTAGTACCTAAGTATGTTTTTTCAGAGAATAAAAAAGTACACATTTCCTTCTGTGTAGTAAATGCCCTTCGTATTTTTACACTATGAGATGTCTTGAAGGTTATCTGTATAATATAACTCTAAAGTTTAAGATACGTTTCTCTTATTCACTAAAATGTTTTGGTCAAATCTGGCTGTTCTCATGCCTTAATTTCTAACCTTTAGAAATTAGAGAAGTAATGAAAAGGTTCCATTAATGTGTTCAGAGTTTTAATCTAATCCAAATCCACAGCTTTCTGCAAGGATACTCTTCCAATCTGATTCATTGATTATCTGGATGAAATGTGAGCATCTACCAATGGAACAAATTTTTTTACCAGCTTAAAAGTTTTTTCAGAGAAAGACCACAGAAAATCACTTTAAGTGTTAGTCTCTTAAAAGCTAAGCTGTCTCAAAGATAGATTCAGGACCTTCCTGTCCTGTAGAGACAGACACCATCTGTCACCTGAGCTTTAAAGGGGGGATGGACAGAGAAGGAAAGTGAATTTTACCTCAGGTCGTTTTCAGGTGTTCTTGAGAGAATGGTTTTGAGATTAATATCACAAGAGGCTGACTAGTCACAGCTAAGACATCACCACAACATCCAAGGTTTCTCGTTTTCATTTCTTAAATTTGATACCGTTTTCTTAGGGATGAAAACATATTCCTTTTAAAGATTTAATAAGCACAAAGATGACTGTATTTGTCATACCTATAGTAGACCTAAAAGGGCTAAATGTCATAACTTTTCTCTTCCAAGAACATGATGTTGGAAATTAACAGACATGTGGTTGTATCTCCAATCATTTGTTTTCTAAGCAAAGACTTGATTTACAATGTAGGGAATCCCCAGTTAGAACACACAATTGTGTTAGCCACTGAATATTTGTTTTTGTTTGTTTTTCTTAGATAGAGTGGGAAGGGGGAGGGAGAGAGAGAGAAACGTTAATTGATTGCCTCCCACACGACCCCCATGGGGATGAACCCGAAACCAAGATACATGCCTTTGATCAGAAATCGAACCCACGACTCTTTGGTTGGGGAGTCACCACTCTAACCGCTGAGCCAGAGCACCACTGAGTAAGAGAGGCCACAACATATTTAATTTGAAAAAATCTATAATAGCCAGTTTCCCTACAACTTAAAAATGTTACCATGGACCACACTGCTATACATTGAACCCATAACATGATGAAATAACCTCATTGAACCCCTTACTTGACATCCTAAGTGATGTGAACAGCTGTCCAAATCTCGCCTGCTTCACTGCAGTCCTGTCTCCCAGGCTGGTTCCCTGCTGTGAAGTGCTGCTCCCGTTTTCTCACGTGACTGGTGAACGGACGTGTAGAAGGGCCCCCAAACCCGAGATGGTGTGCTTGTGGGAGTCTAGGAGAGCTCCTGAGTAGTGGCACCTGTCTAAGCTGTGCCTAATGGGGCTTCCAGCTCCCTCATTCCCCGCCAGCGCCTCCTCTTCAGTGGGGACCCCGTTACGTATTTTCCCACTGAGGAAGGAGAGGGGAAGACTGGGAAAGGGGACAATGGTATGAGGTGGTGTGATCCCTCCTGCCTTCTGAGATATTTTAAGAATAATCCTGTGTCCTTGCTCCTGTTTTGAAAATAGCACGGTAGGGGACGTGATCATGTCATCAGCCCAGAAGTGGCCGAAGAGAACAGACTCGCTTGCAGCAGGAGCTGTGCCCCTTCATAGGACAGGCGAGGAGAGGACCAGGCCCCGGGCCAGCAGGGGCAGGCACGAGGCCAGAGGGAGCAGGAGAATTTCAGAGGCTGCCTTCAGCACAACACAAGCTCCAAGCATCGCCCAGGGGAGCTCTTTGGTCATTTAGCCCATTAATGTTGCTCCTCAGGAGAAACCACACCTAGAAACCAGAGAAGGAACTGGCTGCTGCTTCCTGGCACATTTCTTTACTGAAAAGATGTGTGTGTGTTCAAGTGTCGACTCTCCCCGGGAAGTAGAGGGAAAATTACCAAATAAATGTAACCACTCTACATGTGAAACCTGCAACCAAGAGAGCTGCTAATACTAAGAAAGACTTAAAAAAAAAATTTTAAGATTAAAAAAATAATAAGGCAGAGGGGAGGGGAGAGTGATTTTGTTTTTTTCCTCCAATTTGTTTTCAAACACTGAGCACTAACCATGGCCAAAACACAACAGTCAATGGTGACTTTTGCTCCTAAAATATCATGCCACTATCCTTCGATTATTCTAAGGGAACTCTAAAGAAAGGAGGGAGTCTGGGGTGGGGGAGGAGAAACATCTGTAATAAAAATAAATTAATTAATAAAAAGAAAGGCACATTCTGAATCCGTACCTGCCCCAGCTGGAAAAAAGTAAACTGAAACAGTTTGCATATTTTTGAAAAGCAGTATATTACATATAAGTGAGGATAGCAGAGTGAAGGGAAAATAAGGAAGGAGGGAAAAAATGAAGCCAGAAGCTCAAGTAGCCTCACACATGCCCCGAGGTCTCTATGCTTTCCTAGGACCAAGGGGGAAAGGTTACCTCCCACCCTCCTCCTAGGAAGAAATTAAATGATCTAGGAAGCCCGACCTTCACAGGATCTCACAGCAAACACGGGAACAG